ATTACGCCAGCCACGGCGGTCATCGCAGCAGAAAGTGTTCCAGCTTGCCGGCATGGATTGAGTGGGTCAGGGTTTACAGCAGTCCGTGGGTCTACGCAATCAAAACTGCTAGTGACGTTGTTACTACAATTAACAATCTTATTAGCCTTGTTATTGTAATATTAATATATTCATATATTAATGTATTAATATATTCAATATGCTCGTTTGTAGGGTTGGATCCGCGGGGGCTGGATCAGTGGGCTTGGCAAAAACCAAAGTTATCAAAATCAGAAGTCAACCTGAACAAAGACTTATTGGATACGTTACGACACGGTAGGTTTGTCCAGAATTAATGTAACTGGAGATTTGCAGACACTGAAAATTGTTGAGAAAACCATGAAAAAATGTAGTATTATTTCTGTCCAAGCCGGTGTGTGAACAGAGCAACCGGAAGCTGTGCCATTCCAGTGACTCCTTGCACCGACATTGGCACGTCGGGCAAGGTCACACTAGATGGCTGGCCTTTGTGTCCCCAAGCAAGGAAACTTGATGGCTCTTCGGGTGAGAGCCCGGCAACACCAACAGGTTTTCGCAAGGCTGAGGACGTCTGTGCAAGAGCCGGCAGAAGCTGCAAAGGTGTGACTCCCAAATTGTCAACAAGAAATTGTTCCTCAAGTGTGTTCACTTGTGCCATGCCACTGACCCCTTGCACCGACATGGGCACATCGGGCAAGGTCACAGTGGATGGCATCTATTGTTTCCTCACACTGCTCAGAACAACCTGTCAACTTAAACAGGTTGCTGCAAGGTTGAGGAAATCTTGAGTCAGCATGGCATTGCTTGGCAAGGTTGACGATTCGAATTGAGGAAATCTTGAGGAATCCTCCTCAAGTGGGGCAAAGAAGGCAAGAACGACGTCCAAGGCCCTGATTTGCCGGCGCATACTCATTCACTGAAAGAGCCATATCAATTCTGTTCCTCCAAGTGTGTTCACTGAGACAGCCACATCGACATAAGGCTGCAAGCAAATCAGACTTGTGTCTCAATTGTTATGCAACCTTCTCATCAGTCATCGCACTGTTTTACCTGTGTTGCTGCATGGCCTGCTGTTGCTGTTGTGTCACAGCATTCACACCCCAAAAACCAGTCACAGCAGATTGGCTTGAATAATAAAAAGCATGCAGCTCAGTAAGCTATGAAACGTATTTTGGCTGACGAAGCGGATCGTCACAATAGATTCCGGACAATCTGCGCAACTGCTTCCCCGAACATCGAAGTGTATTCCCCACTAGCCTGTACATCTGCTGGCACACCGGTGAAACGGCCGTCTTCGCCTCGGTTTACCAGACCAATGAAAGCATTATGATCTGGTTTGGGCCTGGCCAGGTTCTCAAAATGAAACCCAGGCAAATGCCACAGTTGCAAGGGCTTCACTGACTTTCCGTTAAAGGCACCCATGTAGGTGCAAGTCTTTTCGAAGCCACAAAAGGATAGAACTGTTTTGACACACTCGAGGTGCGGCATACAGGAGCTGAGGGGCTGTTCCACCACAGGGCAGCACTCACATGCCCATCCCAGGAAAATCCCAAGTGAGCAAACAAGGGCCTGACAATTTCCCTGCAATACAAAGTCCCGCTCAGTCCATGCGCCTTCCCAGCCGTTGCTTTCAGCACGTTGGGAACGAAATGAGCACATAATGACAAAAGAAGAGCACGGAGTGCCCCACCAATGCAAAGCCTTCTTCTCACACGCTGTGGCTGCATCCAGAAACAAACGCAACCCTTTCGCTAGCAACATGTTGTGTTCGTCATTGTAGAGTATGTCAAAGCTGCACCCACGGAGACCGGATTCGATCAATTTCTTCGAAAGTTTGGCGCTCCCTGCATAGTATTCAATGTATTGCAGCAACCCCGCACATTGATGGGGTCCCACATCGATTGAAGCTGCTTCAATCTTGGCTCTGTTGTCATAGCTACGGCTAATGATGCACATCAGCTGACACTCGATGGTTCGGTTCTTCAATGCGGGATAAGCCAATCCAATCAGCCCATGCCATTTCATGGCCACTCTGCCCACATTGAAGTCCTGGTCGTAGCGCAAGAAATTTTGCACCAAAATCCTTGCAACCATGAGCCTGTGACACCAAGGCTCTGTGGACCTGGCCAGCAAGATCAATTGAGGATGATGATAAGTTTATGTAGTATTACATTAATTAATGAAAAATTCAAATTATAACAAAATCTGTGACCCATAACACTTTGAACAGACTCCGGCCTTGGGGAGAAAGACAAGGAAGCAAACGGAAGGAAATGCGAACATTGCAATCGCGATGTTTGCTCGAAGACGTCCTCTACCCAAGTGTCAAACCGATCATCAATTTCATCAGTTCCTGTAACTGTATCGGTAAAATTCAAGGCAGGAAGAGTACACGGGCGCTCCACTGATCTACCTCCCAACTCAAATGACTCTGCAGCATTCTTTTTCCTTTTGCATTTCTTGCGTGCTGGCTTCACAGGCCCAGCACTACCACTGAAGACCAGCGATGATCCCAGCACATGCTGGCACGGCCACTGGAAATTGGACATGTTGGTGATTCACTGACATCAATACATTGATTTGTTGTCCCACATAACTTTAAACCATACCTCTGGTCCAACTTGAGCAACAAATGGATTCAATGCTTGCCTGGCATATCAAGCACATTCCACAAACTAACAGGACACAATGTCAGGAAGGCTTGTTTTTGCTGATCGCTTTCTCCCCGAGCAATCTGCAGCATAACTATGGTGAGACTTCATGATTCATGTCATGTCATCTTCAATTGCACACTTCAGGCATTCAGCAACTGTAATTGCAACGTAACTGTAAAGACTCAATCACAGAATGAACAGCAACTGCGCACAAGCTGAAGCCAAAATTGTGAATCGAACATGTTGCCGCTATGACAGCAGGAGCAGATTCACACACATTGGACTCGGCTGGATGAACTCACTCCCTGTGACTTCTTGAATCGACCGAAGACTTGAAGCTAAGAACACGATACTTGCATACATGACATTGACAGCAATCTGCTACCTGCTGACATGTTTTCCCCTGTGATGTATTTATCACAAAAAAACTGAAGAGGCTACTTGGCATACTTTGTAGGCGAAGGCATTGCGTCGATAATCGGGGCAAGGCGTTCCAGGACAGCCTCAGGGATAGTACCAGGCGGCTGACAATGAGGCGGCAGTTGCCTTTCGGGTTTGGCCTTCTCCCACTCTGTCCATGCCCAGCGATGCACTTGAGCCAGTGCTTGCTTCCAGTCTGATCTGTCGTTAGCAAAGCTTTTGCTGCAAGACTTTTTCCCCTCACTTGACACATACTGTTTTGTCATGATCTCGGCTTTGAAGCGATGATCGTTGAAGCTGAGACGCAACTTGAAGTCTTCGGGTGGATCCAACTCCGACAGGAAGTCGGGAGTGTTATTCAAGTGTGGACCATGCTCGCGCGGAGCACGTTGCGATGCCTGGCCACGATGTGCAGCATCATCAAGGACCTGCTCAGGGGCTGATCCGCTCGAGGACGAGGCCTGTGCCATTCCACTGTCCCTTGGCCCGGATATTGGATCCGGCAAGGTCCCATTGGATGGCTGTGCTTGCACTTTTGTTTCCTCGTGTGCGACCCCGGCACCACCAAGCACAGAGTGTGGACGGGAAGCATCGACACAGGGCTCCTCCGCCGGGGGGGCGGGCTCTCCTTCACCAGTGTGTGGACTGGGAGGATGGGCGCAAGGCTCCGGTGAGGGGGCGGGCTCTCTTGGACTGGGAGCATGGACACAAGGCTCTGCCGGCAATGAATCAGGAGTTGTTCGATCGTCCATGACATTCATGTCCAACAGCTGGCTTTCCAACTCCTCTTTGAGTTCAGAGATATCTGGATCTTCTTCCACTGCTGGTCCGGGCATTTGTTCGAGCACCTGCTCCTTGCGTTTTCGTGACGCTGCTTGCCTGCGAGCCAGCCCTTGCAAGCCCAAAGCTGTGCCTCTTCCAAACCCATTGCCTTTTCCACGGCCTTTGCCTTTTCCTTTGCCCTTGCCTTTGCATTTTGCTTTGGCACACGGTTTTGACTTTGCTTTGGCTTTTGCCACAGCTCTCCTCGCTCTTTTGGCCTGCAATCGAATCACAATTGAGTCACAATTGAGTCACATTTGAATCACAACAATTGAGTCTAAGCCTAGCTCAGAAACTCACTGGAAGGTCTTGCCAGGGTGCCTTTTGTTCTGCAACCTTCTCATCCCACATGTTTTGCCAACGTTGTTGCTCGGCCTGCTGTTCCTGTCGCATCAGGGCTTTCTCCAAGTCCTGGAAATCCTGTTTATCTGAGGGCTCCATGTTGTCCAACAATGCTGATAGAAAACCATCAGGCATATCTGCATCAGGAGCCTTCTGAGTGTCTGACTCTGCAGCTTCACGGCAAGCTTCTGCAAACTCTTCTCCGAAACACTCCTGACACTGTTTCAACAACTCCTTCTTGGAATTCTTGTGGGGTTGTGTCACATTCAAGTAGTCCGCCATCAATGTCAACTCCGCAAAGGTCCTTTTGTGCCCGGAGCGCAAAGTGTTTTGCACAAGTGGTTCCCAACCACACGTGGCTTTGAAATAGAGTCCTGCCTGTGTTGACAATTTCGGAGTGGCTTCACATGCTTCCCATTCCTCAGGGTTGTGAAGGAACTGCCATGAGCAACCGGCCTCCACTTGCAACTGCCAGCCCGAGCACCTGCCGCCCTCATGAACTTCGGACAACCGCCATGCCAACACTGCCCATTTGAAGGATCCCAGAACAATGTAGGTCTCTTCCACATTGCGCAAAGTAATGATTTGCCCAAACTGGGCAAACACAGCCCACAAGCCGTCCTCAGGAACATGTTGTTCTTAGAACAGAGCTATTCAATCACAGACCGCTACTTTGCTGATTCACCCCAGGCCTTCAATTTCACGTTCTGCGTGCTCAAGTTGTTCTGCGAATAGTAGCGCAGG